TTTTTTGAATCTGATGAAAATTCAAGTAGAATATTAAATTGGTGCATTCTATTTTGTATAAATAAAATGATTTAGATTTGATGGTTCATTGAATAACGATTTAACGGTACTGAATAGCAAGAGAAATCCAATTACAAAATCTTTGTGCTTTTATGCATGGTCAAAAACCTATAGAATTCATGAGTAAAGACTTTATACATATTGACAGAGGTTATTTGTGGAATATTTTTGAATACCGATATTTAACAGGAAATTATCACATTTTTTTCTTATGTCTAGCTATTTAAATAAAAAAACTTAAGAGCTATTATTTCAATATCTAATTGTCATTAATACTAAAGAAATTGAAATCCTGAAAATTATTTAACGACTATTTTACACTATTTCAAAGTTCATATTTTTATATAATATTTTATATTATTCATATTTTTAATGCATTATAGGGATTGGAAAATAATTTTTTTTTATCATACATTAAGGTATTAAAATAATTAAAGACTTAAATAACTATCAAAATTTTGTTTATTCCATATAATTTCTTAAGTTCTTCACTTTACACATAAATATGCGTCGTGTATTTACTTTTATATAATCATATTAGTATATATTCAGTCATAAGTATTTTGCATGATAAACATTATTTTTATTTTGAAAATTGTAGTTATTATAAGATGAAGGAGTACTAGATAATAATATTTGACATAAAGTTTTACGTATTTTGCGACCTTGAATAAATATTTACTATTGTAAAATCACATAATCATTGTTCTTTCACAACTTTGTTTTAAATATAAAATGTACTCTGTATTATTCAACCTTTACTTTTATTTTCACTACAGTCTGCTATACTTGTACAGTCTGTTAGTGAACATTTATTACTTTTTGTGTATGGTATTTTTATTTTATACTTACACTTTATTAAAAGTTATTTTAGATTTCATTTTACATACGAATCTTTGACTTATTTATATTTAACCACTCATTCGTTCACAATTGTGCAGCAATATTCAACTTATAGACGGGTACTACAGTGTTAGTATTTTATTTCCTATAAAATTAACCAATGGCCTATAATATTTCATTCATTGAAGCGAATATTTGTATAAGTATTAAATCAAGCTTATTATTTATTCTAAGTTTGGTCTAATAACTAGAAATTAGATTAATTTTGATTATACTAAAAAACTATAATAATAAAATGATATTACATATTGTTTACTTTTTGAATCAAAAATATAAAAATATAGAAAAAGACCAGCTGTATCTAATTAAATTATACAATCACAAACATAGTATTGTAGTAACAATAGTTACATAAAATAGCAACAAATATTGTAATATCGTATAATTAATTTATTATAAGATAATTAAAGATATATTCAAACAATTTCAACAAAAAATTTATAAGTGATAATTTTTATTTAAAAAAAATCAATTGTAAATCGAACAAAAAAATATAACAACCTCATTTTTTTCTCCAAAAATAAATACGTTTATCATTGAAACTTTTACTTAGGTACCCAAATTAATTATTTTAGAAAAAATGTTTTTGTATCATTTAAATTTAAATTACTATTAAGATTCAGATTTATTTACATTCGTAAAAAGTATAAAAAAACATATTTTCGGCTAATCGCTTTAACTTTAAAATAAAAGTAAGTACTTAGTTTCTGATTTAAATAAAAACTTTACATATTTAATGACAAAAATATGAATTTGTAATTGGTCTAAATGTAAAACGATTTAAATTTAGTTGAAATGAGTTCAATTGAAGAGATTTGAAATGAATAGATTAATTACTTTTAGTTAAACTGAAACCATTTATCTTTAACTAAAGCTTCTCATAATAAATAAAATACAAACATATATGATATCTATCAATAAAAGATTACTTTGAGTATCAGTTAAATTATTCATTTAAATACCCCAAATATACGATAATATTCGTAAAAAACTTCTAGATCTGTCATAATTATAGTTTAACTTGAAAGAATAATGTGTTACAGTTTTATAATACAATTTTTACTCATCAATCGCAAATATAGAAAATTGATAGTAAAGTTTCATACAGGTTAAAGTAAATTTAAACTGAAAATAACATATCCAAAAATTAAAAAAATCATTTGTATTTTTTATATGTCTGTATAATATAAAAAAAAATATATAGTATGTCAAACCAAAATTTTTGATTAATTCTATAATCATAGGCCTGTATTTATTAAAATAGTAAAAAACACCAGTGTAGACACTATACCAACATAGATAAGGTAAAACCAGATAGTGCACTTTCTATTCAAGACGTGTAATTCTTAAAAATGTAAACAAACCAAAACCTGCCTCAGATCAGTATCGTGATTCATAGGAAATAAAGTCGTTATGAGCAATAATTGTTTTTTAACTATGCATTAATAACTTTTATTGCTTGTTATGAAGTCGTTGTAAGTGCGTCAAATATACTAACACTTTTCAGTTCCGTTTCACCTTTGCCATATTGGAGTACAGATATTCATTTATTGTTAATTTTTGCATCAGATTTTTTGTGCAGTTTGTTATTAAATTATGAGCAATAAATGAAGTATTTCATACCGCAAATGTGGTGTAAAGTACTGTAAAACTGATCATATTTGAAAATTAATAATAAAAAAAATTGTGTATCTTTTTGATCTACTCCATATTTTAAAAAACTACAAGGAATATGTTTTTCTAACATAAATTGAAAATAAATGAAGATTTAATAAAAAAAAATATATCTTGAGTCATTTTACAATAAAGTAATTGTAATTTACGTTTAGCTTTAAAACTGACACTCCCTCGTGATGCATTTCAAAAGATAAAAGTTTATTTAGCTGCTCAAACTTTCAGTGCAACTGTTGCAGCCGGCATTGAAACTTATCTAGCTAGAAATATATTATTGTTTTCTTAAAAACCAACTTTAATTTTTTAAAAGATAAGAATATATTTTTTAATACTTTTAATTCATATAAAAGACCTTATTCATAATATTTTAATAGACCATTCAAAAATTCTGAAGTTCGAAACTCACATTTATTATATATGGAAAAATTCTTAACAAACTTAAAAGTTTTTGATAAAAATAACAAAGATATAATTAGTCGAATAAAATTTACTAAAGTCTGGTTAGTTTTCATTTCTGGTTTAAATTAACCATGAAAATTACTAAAACCTGAATCTTTACATCATAACTATTTTTTTTTTTTTGAGTATGTTGAAAGTTTTAATAAATGAACTTACGTCCGATACACAGAGCAAAATATGTTTCTTTTTTTTCCTTTTCTTTTTTTTAATTCACTTGTGAGGCACCTTATCTGTGCTACATAATTAAGCTATATTGAGTTTTATTTAAATTATTTACTACTTAATAAATAATAGACTTAAACAACTAACCACCAAGTATTATTAATTATAATTAATTAATTATATATTATTAATATATAATTTATTTTCACTAAAAAAGAATTAGAAATTGCAGTAATAAAAGAGCACAGGAAAATATTTTTAAAAATGTGTACAGGCAATACTTTTTATTGAAGTGCAAATATTATAAACATATTTAGCATTCAGTAATATATCAGATAAAATTAAAGTATTTAATCTGCGATAGAGTTAAAAAGACTGATGTAGGTAGACTTATGATAGGTCAAAAAGTTTAATGATAAATAGTAAATTGAAACTACTCAAATTTTGGCTATTTTTGAAATTCCATCAATGTACATTGATTCTCATGTATACACCCATAACTAATTAATTCCTCATATGTGGTTAACTGATTTGAGGCAGGTTCGAGTTATTATTAAATCAAATGAGTTTGATTCATTTGAGTGGCGACTTCCGCCATTATCAGCAATTCATTATATTCTTCAGTGTTACCGTGTTTATGTCGCATGATCATTTTGTTGTATTTTGTGTTCTGTCAAACATTGTTTGTATTCGTCGTGAGTTTTTGGTTATATAATCTTTCTTAGCTATGTGCCTTTTCAAATGTGCATTTTAAATATACCGTCCTCCCTTCTTTTTACAACAGCTCTCGTGTCGATCGCTAAGGTAACCGATTTCTTTTTTCTCTCGTCTCAATCGCCTCACAATCGAATACTATTGTTTCACTTATTTTTTAATTTGAGTTTAGTTTATGTGTTTTTACAATTATTATTAATAAAAAATCTAAAGCGCCATTGGCGCGACAGTTAATTAGTTTGGTCTAATTTATTGTTTAATCGGGTGTTGTTCCGCAGTCCAATCTACGTAATGGTGGTACAGAGCTTAACCTACAAAAGTGCACAATCTGGGTTTATTTTATCTGTGATACCAGTATATGACACTCATGACTGTTTTATCATATTTTTAGATCCCCTGAATAGATTTAAATAATATTATATTATAGAATTAATCAGATTTATGTATTATTGAAAATTGGACTAACTTCAACAAAATCAAGATTTAATCTGATATGACATTTACTAGAACATTGTTTTATACACAAGGTTTATAAGAAATTAAATAATTATTTTCGTTATTGCAATTGAATGGAAACAACTTGAATAATTTTATTAATGTACAGAAGTTTTATTATAATTTAATGTCCTCGAACAATAAAAAATGTTGTCTAATTGGTATCTAAAAATATATATCTTATCAGGTGTGTTATACTATCATTCAATGGTGTCATTATCCTAATATTTAGATTTTTTTATTGAAAAATTGTTTGGTTGATAATTAGTTATTGATAACTAAGAGTAGAAAAATGGTTGATTTAGTTACGACGTGTAATTATTTTAAATTGAATTCAGGTTACTTACTCACTTTGTACATTCCTTCAGCTTATTTAACAAAAATATTTTTTCAATTATTATTATGAGTTAATATTTTATAGTTTTATTTTATGTATTAAGTTAAAATTTTAGATTTAATGAGGCATGGATTAAAACTCAAAAACAATATTCTATACTAACTTATATACTAGATATATTTTATGCTCAACTCACCAATGTGTAAATTGATCCAGTAATTGCTGCATGTCTTATATTAAGACTATAAATGTTGTTTTTACGAGTAATATGGTTATATCTATACAAAACGGTCGTTGATTTCATCTGTAAATGAAACAAACACATTAGTGTGTATGTTATATTTATAGTATAGTTTTATCATGCCACATAAAACACTAAAATATGAAGCAATTTTTTCGTTATAATACAACTATAAGAAACATTTATTGATAATGGTGTATAGTATGATCATATTATTGGCAAGTGTAATAGCTATATTATATATGAGTATGTACCTGCGATACTTAATTCTATTCAACATATTTTCAATTTATTAGATACTATTGTATAATTTATTTAAACTTAACAAATAGATTTGTTGTATATAATTACTTTATTTTAAGTTTAATTTATTAAAATTTAAGTTTGTAGATATTAGACATAAATAATGACAATTAAAAATAATTAAAAGTATTGAAAGTATTGATGCAATAACGTAGCAGTTCTTTTTCTATAATTATTTAGAAGTTAAAAATTTAATGATATTTGTATGGATTCTGACCAAAAATTTATCGTGATCTCCTTAGCCTTTATCCCAACTAATCAAGATTGGCTCTACCTTACAATGATATGGCAGATTTTTTACACCAGCATGGTAGGCAAGGTCTATTGTTAAAGTTCTTGTATGGTCATCCATCTAGAAATTAACAGCGAACGGAGCAGCTGAGCATCAATGATATGGCGGAGATTAAATGACCTATTGCGCCACAACGTTAATCAATTTTTGGTCATTACTATTACTATTAAAAAGTACAGTTCCAAAACATTTTATTTTAAATATATTGTTTTGATTTTTTCTCAAACCGTATTAGAAATATTCAAAATTTTCATTGAAACATAATTTTAAAAATGAATGTAGTTTTCATTTAATGGCACTGAAAAATTTAATTGTTATTTGCGAAAATCAACAGTTTTGGAGTTTTAATTATATTGCTAAAACTTATTTAAATTTCGCAGTAAAATATAAATATACTTTAATTTTGATGAAAAAAATAAAAAAACGTTGATACAATAATGAATAGAAGTATTATTAAACGCGTTTTTTTATTTTTTATTTTTAAATTAAAAACATCGGAGTTTACAATAAGACTATATAAAGTAACAATAATATTTTTACAATCCAATAAACAAAGGAAATTTTCGTGGCCTACCCAGCGTCTATAGTAATTGCCGCTTTCACTGAATACGGTTAATTAATGCGTTATGTAGAATGTCTATAATTATAATATTATGGCTATACATTTTGTAATTAAGTAAGTTGAATCGTTTAAATTTTAAATTATTCCAGTAGAAACCTCCGAGATTGATAAAAAAAAAGATAAGATATGTTTAATGATAATGGAAGTTTGCTCCGAAACACAATTTATTCTTATATGTATTAGTTTTAGTTGCTTTAATGAAAAATGAGTCTTCATTTTTATATCTCAATTCATGATTCTCTCTTAAAAAACGTTTTTATGCCACGATGTTTTATTACACTTGCGACATAATAATATCTCACAATTTTACTCTTTACTTTAATGGCCTGAGGAGAATTTCATGTTAGAAGGAAGGTTTGGTAAAATAAAGGTCGACCGCTATAATATGGAAAATGAACGAATTATTCAAATATACAGTATGGTAGAATTATATAATACAAAATCAAATTTATATGCTAAAACTATACCAAAAAAGTTTACACTACCGTTTTTTAGCGTGACCTAAAGTCTTTAGGTTAATTTTGAACTTCTGATAGTCTGTATCATAATGTTCATCTTTATTAAATGTTTTATTCATGATGGTAATAACCAAAAAATCATATTGGTTCAAAACAACTACCATTTTTGATGACAATTTTTTTTATTTTAAATTAAATACATTTTTGCTAAAATTCGCTTGATAAAATTTTGTATATATTTTTATTAAAAATATATACGATTGTAATGTTATTTTTTTTTACGTTAATCACCAGAGTAAGAATAAATTTGAGGTATTACTATTAATAATGATTAATTAAAAAAGTTTTATTGTATTATAATTTCTTAAAAATCTTTCACATTACGTTTGTTAGGTTAAAATATTACACCTTTAATAAAAAATGAAAAAGAAGGCAATTTTTAGTTTATATACCATGTGTTGTTTTGACATTTATAAATTCTTTACACATTGTATCGCGTTTAATATCATAACATTTTATAGTGGAAAAATTAATGGTTCTTGTAAGTTAAGCATAACTCATATTGCAATGTATAAGGTGATTACAGTTACTGTTCAGAAATTTTCCTGTAAACATGTCTAAAAGTAATCTAAGGTCTTAAAAGAATTGAAAAATATCATTTCTATTTAAAAATTTTAGTGTATAGTCAAATTTATATAAGAACTTTTATTTTATAAATATATAAAAATGTATGTGAAACAACAATTTAACCATAAAATATTGGCTTATAAGAAACTTAATTCAAATAAAAATGAAAAACTAAAATACATAATAAAGAAACCGTAAATGAAGTGTAGTAATATTTTATTTTGTAACAATTGATCACAACAGATTGTAAATTTAACATATTTCGCTGGATTGCTTTTAATTTAATCGCTGACGTTTAATATGTTTTCACATGCCATTAAAGCTCAAATGTGACATATTCCTTTTCCATTTAAGTTTGTTTAAATTAAATATTTCCGTTCGTGTTTATTCCATTATTTGTAAGTATTTTTAGATCTAATCAATAATTTATGAAAATACAAATTCCAAAAAACATAAATTAAAGAAAGAATTTATTTGAATATACTTTTTCTTTAAATGCACTGGAAATGTTTTATAACCTAATAAATTTCAATAAAAATGTTGTAATTTTCCATTGATACAATTATTTTTAATAAAAATAAGAAAATATTTTAACAAATAAGAACGAACATACTTACTTTTTTACTTTAGACTAATAACTCTATCAATTATAACTGTAATATTAAATAACTAGTAAAATTTATTTATAGGAATTTTTATTGATAAAAGTGTAACTCTACAATGACAACTTAATTTTATTTATGGTTAACTTTATATTTTTTATTTAATAAAATATAAAATTATTTATATAATTAATAGAAAATTAAATTAATTGTATTACAAATATATAGATAATGCTTACACATTTTTTTCCTTAAATCAAAAATTAATTATTTGTCTTCATTATTCAAAATTATATTGAAATTTTAGATACATGTCAAAAATATTCAACATTTGTGTTTTAAATACTATAAATAAATAAAATGTATTTAAAATACGTATTCGAAAATTTTTTTTTTTTAAATATTTAATTACAAATATAAGTATTTTTAAAGTATTTAAGTACTTAAAGTATTCACAGTCTAAATTTCAAGCGTAAGGCATTTACATAGAGACTTTTTAGAATAAACTTTTTTATTACAAAAAATCAAAATTTTAGTTTTGTTTCTCTGGTGTCATTTTTTTATGATAAATAATATCTCTACAACAAACCAAGGAAATTAATTTATAATGATAAAAGCATAAGAATATCATTAATATCTAACGTGTTATCCCAACACTTTTATTTGTTAATCGGCATAGTATTATCAACAACTGATATTGTAATAAATTATTTACAAATATAACCTGTGTGTGGGTAATAACTGAATTTATTTATTATAATAGGTTATAGTAACCAAACTATTTATAAAGTAAATTTAATTTAATTGTTTAGATATGAAATAGTTTTATTTTTATATCATTTAATTATTAATGGAATATTTTAAAAAATTATTCGAATGATCTATTTTAAAAGTTTACACAGCATTTTATAATGTGGGGTTAACATAAAAAAATTTTACTAACTTGTAGTGTCAAAATAAAAGAATTATTCAATTTATTTTTCCTATACATTTTTTTTGTAAACACGTTTAAAGATAATAGTCAAGACTTAAAAAACACCAATCAATTAAATTGTATTATGTGTAGTTTATTAGTTTCACTTTTATATTTTTATTTTACAATTCAATTAAATGAATCTAATGAAATCAGTGGCATATTTGAAAGGATCGCAATAGCATGTGCGCCTTTATTAGCAACGCTATGCTAAAGGAACATTTTTTTAGCTTTTATTTTAGCTCTTAATTAGATCCAAATTACTAAAAAAATTTTCGCAAAAAATTTTTATGGTAGTGTTAAAAATTTTTATATGTCCCTTGAAAGACATTTCATAAGAATTATTACTGGTATAAGTGATTTAATTCAAATAAATTTTATATTTAACATTTGAAGTTAAAATATTAAACTTCCATTGTAATTAAGTTACTATTTTATCATAAAATAATGTTAATTCATTACTTTTTATATTAAGTAATTTTTAATTTAATTTAATTACCAAAAACAATGTAATTTATCCAACACTACATGCGTCTTATACGAAATATTAATAATTTGGGTAGATTTACAGGTTGATCGGTTTATCATAAACTACTCAATTACTCCCAAAATAAATACAATATTGAAAAAAATTTTAGTTTTTAGTTACATATATTTTTTTATTAATTAGCTATTAATTACGTTATAAGAATTATTCCTTATAGGAATGTAACGTTATTTTTTAAATGTTAACATCATCTTCTTTTTCCTTACCTTAATCTCAACTACTCGGGGTCGGCCACTCTTATCCTAAACTTCCACTTGATACGATCTCCCACAACATCTACACTCATATCAGCCGTTCTCATATCGCATTCAATAACAGCCCTCCATTTTTTTTTTGGTCTTCTTCTACCTCATCTTCCTTCAACATTCATTTTCGTAACTATTCTGTCAGATTCTGATTCCTCTCTGCTCATGACCATACCATCTTAGTCTATTTTCTCTCATCTTATCCATTATTGATGATACACCTATACTCCCTCTTATATGTTTGTTCCTTATCGTATTTTCTCTAGTCACTCCAATTATCCATCGAAACATTCTCATCATCATCATCGCCAAACACTCAGAATCATATATCATTACTGGTTTCACTACAGTCTCATATAACTTACCTTTCAGTATCATTGGAATTCTTTTATCG